TGTGTTCACGGTGTGTGTGTGTGTTCACTGCTGTGTGTGTGCACTAAGGATGGGTTAAATGCAGAGCACTAATTCCTGGTATGGGTCACCATACTTGGCCACATGTCACTTCACTTCACTTCACTTATATAAATAATTGAATAGCACGGCCATTCAAAACCTGAGGGTCTACCATGTGCCTATAAAGCGATCACTCACAATCATTTTGGGTGGGAATTATGTAAACACAGATATCGGATACCAGTCGTGTCTAAATTGAATGTAAACAGACGGGCCAAAAAATCGGATATGGTCATAATAACATCTGTTTTTTCCACAGCATGTGCTTGGGAGTAGTGGTTAAATATCAGGGTTGCTTGAAAGGTTGTAGGTTCAAACCCTAGAGAGGTTAATCCATTCTAATTACCATTACGGCTTTGATCGAGGCACTTACCCTCAGGTTACCCCTGGAGGACTGACCCGTTTCTGGTGAACTGCTGCTTTGGGTAAAGGTGTCAGCCAGATGACTAATTAGTGATTAGTAGTAATTAATGATGCCGTTTAGCAGATGCACATTGTAGTTAAGTGACGTGCCTCAAGCTGCTGCGCTCGTTGTTTAGAAGGTTTAAACTGGTCGTCTAGTTTTGCATTGCTAAAAATCTGGGCTGGTAATTAAAAGGTTGTGGGTTCGAACCCATCGCCATTGTGACCTTGATCAGGTCCAAGAGGACTGACCCTGTTTGGCTAGAAGTGTCTGCTAATTTACTAATTAGTTGCATAGTTTAGTGTTATTTCACCAGCTGTAGACCCAAGATACGTGTCATATCGGAGCTTTATACTATTTTAAGCTTTATTCCAACTCCATTACAGTTTTACGGTAAGGCCACACGCAGATACAGGGGGGGTTTCCAGACTGTATTCTTCAAAATTACCACACACAGCTGGGTCTCGGCTATATTACTAAGTGACGTGGCCTCCGTTTGCCATCTGTCTCACTGTATAGGTTGGATTGTTATCAAAGAATGAAGTGATGAAGCAAAGAAAGACTGAATATTTGGACGTGGAAGCAAGTGATTGTGTCTTTGAATGTGAGGGAGAAATCCAGAGAAATGAGCCTCAAAGCGGCACAGAAGTCTTTTTTTTAGAAAGCACTTAGAAATTGAGTTGACAGTGAAGTGAATCAGGACTTTAGTACCTGTTAAGGCAGTCAGAGTCATATGTTAAGAGTCTTATCCTCCTGTTTGTGGATCTTACGTTTTTTAGAGGTTCAGATTTGAGGTCATAACCTTCCCAGTTAATTTCTTTTGTATTTAATTCTCATTTCTTCTGTCTTCTTGCTCTAAAGAAAGAAACCCATTTTACTTCTGTGATGTGATGTGATGTATTTCTAAATGAATCAGAGATATTTAATTAGAAAAAAAGGACGGGCTTAATTTTATCCATTGAGAACTGATTAGGTGGTGCAAATGTCTCTGAATTACAGGTGTTTGAGTAACAGAGAAAAGGAAAGTTATGTTTTTGTTTTGTTGTTTTGGTGTTTTAGTGTCATGTAAAAATGTTACAAATATGAAAAACGTCATGGCAAAACAAGAATAAAGTTGTAAAATTTTAAGCATAGTGAAAATTATGAGAATTAAGTCAGAAACAAATGTCTCTGAATTACAGGTGTTTGAGTAACAGAGAAAAGGACGAAAAGTTATGTTTTTGTTTTGGTGTTTTAGTGTCATGTAAAAATGTTACAAATATGAAAAACGTCATGGCAAAACAAGAATAAAGTTGTAAAATTTTAAGCATAGTGAAAATTATGAGAATTAAGTCAGAAATGCAAGCTCAAATACTCAAAATATTTTGAGTCCAAGTAAAGTCATCATAGCATTATATGATTAAAGTTGTAATTTTGAGAATCAAGTCAAAATTGCAAGAATAAAGTCATAGCAATACAAGGTTAAAGTTAATGTTTTGAATATGAAGTCAAAACTATGAGAATAAAAAATCATAAATAAAGAAATTTCTAGCGTTACAAGGTTAAAATCGCAACATTTTGAGAATGAAGTCAAAAATGCGAAAATAAAGTAATAGTATTATGAGGATACAGTTGATGCAGTACAAGATTGAAGTCATAATATTTTGAGAATGAAGTAGTATATTGTGTGTTTAAAGGCACAATATGTAAGATTTTTTTATTAAAATATCCAAAAACCAATAGAACAGTGTTATATATTTTGCTGACTTGTGTATTTGCACTATCCCAAATGTTTTGAAGAACGACCGCACAGAGTAGCTTTATAACAGAACTTTAAAACGTATCTAGTATTATAAAACAGCGCTGTTTTACCCCACATACGCACGACCGGAAGGAGCGGAAGCAGTCGACTGTGGCATAATAAAAGCTCTGCTGCTTTCCAATATGTAAGATTTTTTTATTAAAATATCCAAAAACCAATAGAACAGTGTTATATATTTTGCTGACTTGTGTATTTGCACTATCCCAAATGTTTTGAAGAACGACCGCACAGAGTAGCTTTATAACAGAACTTTCAAAGTATCTAGTATTATAAAACAGCGCTGCTTTACCCCACATACGCACGACCGGAAGGAGCGGAAGCGCTCGACTGTGGCATAATAAAAGCCCCGCTGCTTTCCAGGCGTGTGTCGCGCTCGTTCAGCGCCTCGTTTCGCTTCGACGGCTTTCAGCCTCACCCTGCTTCATTCTACTATGTTAACAAATCATTAGCTCATCCATGAACCTAGGAGAAACGGCATCATTATTACAATGAATAGAATGCCTCTTGGACTTGTGCAATATACTACTTCATTCTCAAAATATGATTTTTTTTAATTTTATCTTGACATAACTATTTCCAGAGTTTTATGCATACTTGATGATTGCATTCAAAAGGATATTCTTTACTAAAACATTGCAATACTTGAGTTAATTATTTTATAATATAAAAACCCACAATAGTAGGAGAAATGGCATCATTATTACAATGAATAGAATGCCTCTTGGACTTGTGCAATATACTACTTCATTCTCAAAATATGATTTTTTTTTATTTTATCTTGACATAACTATTTCCAGAGTTTTATGCATACTTGATGATTGCATTCAAAAGGATATTCTTTACTAAAACATTGCAATACTTGAAAAGACCTCAGTGAACTGTTGTGTTATGAATCGATTCACTTAAATGCACAGTTTGATTCAGATGTAGAAACCAACAACAACATCCTAGCATCATGCATTGCATGGCAAACATTGCTCACATTGTCATCAGAAAAAGCAAAACCCTATGCTAGCTGTTGTTGTTCAGGTGTACAGCGCACGAGGCCATCATAATGATTCAGGGCTGTCGTTCTGTCAGACGTCAATATACCCGTCTCTCTCTCCCTCTTTCTGTCTCGCTGCAGTTGGTCAGGTTTTTCCGAGTTGTTCGTTCCACGCATATTTATGTCCATGCTTTTGTCATGCTATTAGAAATCCACCCTCCCCCTTGACACACAGACACACACACACACACACACAGACACACACACACTCTGTGAGACAGTCGGCACTCAGTTCTGCTGTTATGAGAGAAAAAGGGGGGCTGTAAAAATAAACAGAACAAACTTTAGCCATTGAAGAGGAAAATCTGGCCTACATTAGCCCTTCTCTCTTTCTCTTTCTCTCTCTCTCTCTTTCTCTCTCTCTCTCTCTTTCTGTCTCTCTCTGTGTCCCTGTCCGCTCCTCATCACTGATTTCCCAGAGCACAGAGTCTCCCATTAGCAGGCGATCAGGAGAAACTAGATTTGCATTTCCTGAAGGAAAAGCATAGTCTTAAACTTTTAGGTACGTTTAATTTTCATCAGGCTGTAGCAAGCACAGTTCAGTACATCATTGTTATATATATAGTATATTTTGAATGCTGAGTTTAAGTTTACAAAAATCAGACTGAAATTATGCACATGCTATTTAATTTGTTAGGTTTAATTAATTGCATAAGTTTAATATTTAGGGTTATTTTTGGAAGGGTCAGTACAGTGAAGCCGTGCAAGAACTAGAAGAATGAATTTCACTTTTGTCTCGTTCCTCTTGCACTTGATCTGAGGAGTCTTACTTTTTTCTAACGTTTTTCTTTTGCTCAGACTTTTTCACGGGCCATCGTTCAAGTTGTCAAACCGACATTCCTTTAACCAGACGATAAACTGGCATTCATTCGCTCGCTCTTTCTTTTCCATACCTCAGGAGAGAAAAATAAACTCGGATCTCTTTAATTTCTAATTTGTTTCTCCTAGACAGACAGAAGTCTCTTGCTTCTCAGAAGTTTCTCCTGAGAAAAAAAAAACACTTATAATCTCATGTTTCTCCTCTGGAGTTTCAAAAGAGATTTCAACTAACTGGGCGAGATTTGCCAAAAAAAAAAAAAACTGCAATCAAACTTGACCTATTATTTTATAGCTTTATACTTTCTTTATATCAACTATGGTCTCATTTGTTTCTCTTTTCTATTTTAGGAGAAACAAAAAACCAAGTTGGTACTAAAATGAAACTTATCTGAGATCTCCAGTAAGTCTGCTGAGCTTTGGAAGAGAAACCTTAATTTTCCCCTAGCGTTTCATTTTTCTCTCATGCGTGCTTTCTTTGAGGTCTCTGTAATATTACAAATCTGTCCGTCGGCACTTTGTTGTGCAGTCACAGGAGGTTCACATGCAGAGATGTTATTCCTGTTTTGGTGTTTTTCTGTGGCATGTTTCTTTAAAGGTGAAACGTGCTTTTCAATGTTAAAATACTTTCTCATATCCCAGTGTGATGATCAGAGTCTTTCTGACTATAGGAGAGAAGTCTGTTCCACATTGCAGACAAAAAGAGACCATCTGACTGACATTTAAAGCGACCACCCACAGTTTGTTTTGTTTTTATGTGCATATATATATATAGGAGCAGGTTTATCTAAAATATGTAAAAAAAAAAAAAAACTGGTCAGTTGTCTTGAATCATGGTCTCATTGTTCTTACGCCCTGTGTGTTGCATGTTTCAGGCAAAACCCATCTATGGTGGATGGCTGCTCCTGGCACCTGAAGGAACAAACTTTGACAATCCTCTGCACAGATCACGGGTTCGTATAATTGCACTGCATATGGATTATAATTCAGCTCTGCGCTTTTTACCTAGCAAATTCATTTTGGCAAAACTATTTAAGAAAAACTATTTTTAGAAACGTTCCAGAATGTGCTGTTCAGTCAAGTTTAGTTCTCACCTGCATTAATAGAGCAAATATCATGGAAGTCCAGGTCCATATTTCACACCAAAATATATATATATGTATATAATGGTTAAATATACATGCATGTCATTGGGTCTCTGGGACCTCGGACCTAAAAAAGTCAATCTTGACAAACATGAGGGTTAAATTATAATCGTTAGTGCGGTTTAATACATTCAAGAACATACTAGATGTTATGCATAATATTTAATGCAACAAAGGACTAGGGCCCTCATTTATCAACAGTGCGCACTCACAGATGTGTGCGTAATGAGTGCGTAAGAACAGTTTCACGCAAAGTGTGGGATCTATTAACTTGTACTTACACATAGGAATGTGTGTAAATATAGGCACAACTCTGAGCATGCTTACGCAGAGAATCTAGTGGTAGAATGGCCATACTACAAAAAGAAAGTGCTGCCGCATGTGTCCTGTGTCTTTTAACTGCAAATACTCAATTAATAATTTCATATTGCAAGCTAAACATTTGCACAATTAGTGTGAAAAGCTATAAATGAGAGTTGGGAAGTCGATTGGAAATGTAGTTATATGGTCATGGCTGATCTCGCTTTGCTGGAAGATTTGGCGAACCATGCGCTGCGCAGAGAACGCGTTTTCACAAAAAACGCGCTGATCTGTTTAGTGAGAGCACAGAATGACTCAGTCTTCTTCTCAGTCGGTACCACTTTCTTTGCCATGACTTCGGTGAGGACGTATATGTTCACGTGATGAGGGCCCAGAATTGTTTCTCTATTATCACACATTGTGTGTGAGTGAAGAGATTGCTGCTTTTCTGTGTGTATGTGAGTGTGTGTGTTTACTGTACAGTATGCATGCTTGTGGCGAACGAGTCAAGTGTGTGTGTGTGTGTGTGTGTGTGTGTGTGTGCACGTACGTACATTAAAAGGAGAGGGAGTTTGTGGGATGGGAAACGATTCGACAGCAAACAGGAAATCACAGATTGACAAACAAGATGGAAAGATGATAAAAATAACCCAAAGTATATGTAGTATATACAAGTATGTTCGTGTAGGATGTGGTGGTCAAACAAATGGCTATTGCGAATCTCCAAAGTCAATAAATATATAAAATGCATTTTAATGACACTGACAAAATTGTGTATACAATATAGTGTATTTGTAAATAAAATTAATTATTACAAAATATTTACCCCAAATGCACATATTTGAAAACAGAAAATGTTTATTAATTGAGGAAAATGCCAATTTACAGTAACAGGAAGTTACCACTTCTGTAAATCAGTCATGCAGGTACCATATCAATCAGCCTGCCTGATGATATATACGTTATAATTTATATACACTGGCCCTAAAAAGCTATTTAGACACTTAAGTCAGACTTAAAACACTTTCCAGATCTAAAACATGAAGGTAGCATCACTTTTCACTCATACAATCTCAATTTCTTCTCTTGCAGAAATGGCAGAGGCGTTTTTTCCTTCTGTATGAACATGGACTCCTGCGTTATGCGCTGGATGACATGGTGAGTGTGTACTATTCTCATACGGTTGTATTCTCATACTGTGTACTTGTTGCCATGTTTCTGTCTGCAGTATGTGGGCGGCTCTGTGTGGACAGACCTTCAGGGTGCTTATGTTGCTGCCTGTCTGTTGTATGTTGTGTGTGTTTGTATATGCATTGTTTGGTATAATATGGCTGGATTCAGGGATTCATGGTGCATAATCGTGACAGTGAATGTGATGTTCCTAATAGCATACTACTTCATTTAGTGCACAACTTTAGTTGGATTTTTACTGCAGTTGACAGTATTTTTTTTTTCATTTAATATTTTGAAGGATATGCCAGGTTCAATACAAGTTCAGCTTGTCCTTGTCTTTCTTTAAAAAAGCCAAAATCTGGGTTACAGTGGATGTGAATGGGGCCAATATTTAGAGGTATTAAAATGTGAAGCTCTTAGTTTTATAAAAGCACCTAAAATGAATTTTTCTGTGTATTATTTGAACTGTCAAATCATTCTTGTCATTTTATGGTCTTTTTAGGGTTTTAGGTGTTTTGTTTTTTTTTACACAAAAAATCATGTTAATGTTTTGTGGATGTAATATTGAAACATTGATTACTTAAATGTTACAGATTGTCCATTCCACCATTGTAAGTGCTTCACTGTAAACCAGATTATTCCTTTTTTTTTTTAAAGATGTTGAAGTTATTTTCTATGTTAATTAACTCCACAAATGCGATTGATTGAGTTTAACTTGTACTAAACCAGGAATATTCCTTATCTTCTTGGCAATGATGGCTGAAATGATGGATCTTCTGACTGAAAAAGCATTTCATTTAGGCCATTTCAGATCAAATAACTCAGTCCTAAGGTATATATAGAATATGATTAAAAGGCTTTCATATACAGAGGTGTATTTTCTGCTGATGGCTATGCGGTTCCTCTTCGTCTGTTCGCTCATCTCATCCACTTCTCTTTCATCTCTGTTTCTCTCGGAGAGGAGGAGGGAAGTGAGTGATGGACGTATAAAGAGCAGCATAAAGGATGAAAAGCCGTTTGGCTTCATTTGTATTCATGCGTGTTTGTGATAGTTATTAAGCACCACTTCTGCCCACTCGTGATCGTGAGTTCTTTTGTGTGTGTGTGTTTGTTTACATAAGTGTATGTCTGGAACTACATGAACATAAAGTCCGTCATTACTGAACGCAGGAAGGCCAGGTCCGACCCGGCTTGGGTGATGATGATGATGATGATGATGATGATGATGATCTCTATGTGAGTATGCGTGTGGGTGGGTGAAGCGGCGCTACATCCGAAAGCTACCCACAATCCATCTGTGCCCACTTCCCTCATACACTCAGACATCCAGGAACAGAGATGAATGTACACATTACTGGGATTTCTCGTTCTGGAGAAGCACTCGCAGCAGAGAGAGAAAAAAGGACAAATAAGAAGTATTTGACAAGGGAGTGATAATATTCTCTTGTAGATACGGACTGTAGTCAGATGCCGTGTTTAACTTGACACAACTGAAATGAGGATGTTATTGATGGACATTGCAGTCAGTTGCTTGTACTGTTTCTTAGGTCATGTCTAATTTTGGGAAAGATGAAAGTGAATGGTGACCAGTGGCCAGTGCTGGGTAGATTACTGACAAATTGTAGGATAGTCCATTACTGATTGCAAATTACATGACTAAAATTGTAGTTAGTAACGTAATCCATTACATTACACATTTTAAGTAATATAATCTGACTACTTCTAGATTACTTTTGGATTACTTTTGACCTTAGTCGTTTACCACATTATTTAAATAGCATAATCTTGTATTAAAATAGAAAATATATTCTATTTGTTTTTAGTAACAACATTATAGTGCATTAAACATGACATTACATCAAGGTTTAATGAAAAGCTAGTAATCAATGAAATCATAAAAATGTTAAATTAAAATTTTTAATTTGTTACGTGAACATGCAAATGTGAAAAAAAAAAACTAGTTACCTTAAAATCTTGAAGTAAATATATTAAGTGAAAGATGTTCGGCTGACAAAAAAAAGTTTTGGAATCCCTGCATTACATGTAAATAAGAAATAAAGTGAATTTGTGCATTTAATGTGTTTTCAATGTAATGTACCGTATTGACCCGAATATAAGACAATGTTTTTTTTCTTGGAAATACATCTGAAAAAACGCGGTCGTCTTATATTCAGGGTCTAGACTTTGACATGTCAATAATACACCCACAACAATAGGTGGCGCCAAATACGCATAAAACGAGTGTGCCACGAAATACGTAATGTAATGCGTGTTGTAAAGATCACTAGTAAAAACCAAAACAAAAGAAAAAGAAAACCTTACAGCTGCATGAGTCGTGACTGTCACGTTAGCCTGATGGGACCAAACTCCCTTTGTGATTTTAAAACGTAAGACAGTACCCAGATTTGAAGACTACAGTAAGATTAAACTTCTACTGTTAATAAGATTTTGGTAGGCTACTATTAGATGGATAGCCTAAATGTCCTAATTCAGATGGGCTACCTGTTTTTTTTTATTTATTTTTTTTATGGTATATAAAAAAGTGTATATTTTTTAAATGTGATTGTTGGTACATTTTACCAGTTTTTACCATACTTTCAAAACAAAAATTAAAATAGGAAAAATATGCAATATGAAAATAATTGAAGACAAAATGTGTTTTACTGAGAAAAAACAAGATTTGGTTTTTAAAAAGCCTTTTTCCAAAAGGTACATCTGGAAAAAGGGGGGTCGTCTTATAATCAGGGTCGTCTTATATTCGGGCCAATACGGTAATTGTAATTAGGGTTGCAAAAGGGTGGAAAGTTTCCAAAATTTCTGGAATGTTTCCACCTTTTTGCAACCCTAATTGTAATATGTAATCATGTAATTAATATGAAGTAACTCTAGTCTGATTACAAGTATGTAGGGGATAAACGGATTGTAGTTGATCATTTGCACGTTTCTAAATCTTGCCAATTTAAACAATCGAGAGTCGGTCTTAAAGGGGCAGCAGCCTATAAAAACCTGCTGCTGTCTGTGTCATTAATGTTAATCACACAACTAAATACAGCTTTAACAAATATGAATCTATATTTAATTTATACAGTGAACACTGTGCAGTGTTATTTTACACTTAATTACATTTCTGTACCTGAAAACTAATGTTAGACGTTTTGTTTGTAACTTTGTTTTATCTATGTTTGTAATTTGTTTATTTGTTCTTATTTTATTACTGACTGTTCAAAAATGTTTGACCTTTATTAGTTACGCTACTAGTTTTTGCTGTGGTATCAAAGAAATATTTAAAGTGTTCTTTAAATAATAAAGAAAAATTACCCGATCTGTGATTCAAAATCTGTAACATGATCCGAACTCTGAGTTTTGTGATCCGTTGCACCCTTACTCTCTTGACTTGTTATTTGAAGAAAAAATACAATCACAGAAGTTTTCGATCATGCTGATTTGTCCACAATGAATTTCAGCCGATGTCTTTTTTTATTTGGGCTAGTTAAATTCATTTTGGGCTACCAGGGATTTTTTAAAAAACATTTTTAGCCAGGATAAAAGCATCAAAGAAAGCAGTCCATGTGACTTGTAAACTATATCCCAGATCTTCTGAAGCCATATTACTGATATGCGTAAGGAACAGACACTAAAGTTTCTATTCACTGAAAATCTTGCTTGACAGCTGATTACTTGGAAGACATTGGCTTCCACATTCGTATTCCATAGAAGAAAGTCATATGGGTATTCAAAGAGATGAAGATGTGTAAATGTTGACAGGGTTTTAATTTTAGGGTGAACTATTACTTTACACACAAACATGTAGTCAGAGATGTTAATTTAGTAACATTTTTACAGATTGGGCAATTAATGAGTTAATTATAGTTTGTGAGTCCTTTTGAGTGATTCATGAAAAGATTTCGAAGAGTTTATGAGTCATTTGTTTGTGAATCAGTCCACAGTGGTTGTGCTGTATTTTTGTTTTTGACAATGCAAAAGAGCAATGTGCTTACTATATATATATATATATAGTGTGTGTGTGTGTGTGTGTGTGTATATTGTATACTATATACCAGAAAACAATTTAAAACAGTTTTTGGTAATTGAAACTAAGCTGAAATAAAAGAAAATAAAACTATCAGATGCAAAACCTAAATGAGAAATGTTGCATTGCCAACAAAAAATGAAATTTTAAGCTGAAGTACTAAATAAAACTGAATAGAAATAAGATTAAACTACACTAAAAGTAATTAAAATGACAAACACATTAAACAAAATTACTAAAACAAACTAAAATTAAAATTAAAAATGGAAATAAAAAGTTCAAAACATTAATAAATACTGTAATGGCACACAAATAATATTAAAATAACACTGATAAGAGTCTTTGGTTTTTCACTTTTTATCACTTTTAATTCAGACTAACAACACTGCTATTTGTTTCACACACACACACAGACCCACTTGAAATGCTTTCTAATGCAGATGATTTTGACGTGTGAGTGTGTGTTGATGTCATCAGCAGGGTTTTCATTGTATCGGTCCCATCAGAAACAGTTGCTGTAGTGGATGAAATGGTATTGTGAGAGGTCAGGATGTCTGGTGTTGACTGGACGCCTAATGCTTGAACACGTTTAGAGTCTCACGCTATATTTAGAGCTGCTCTTCAGCATGTGTTTCTGTAACGACCACTCAAACCCTACTATATAGAATGTAGTGTAGTGGTGAATATTACAAAACATGTCTAGAAAACCCCAAAATCTACAGAAAAATAAGCATTAAGGCTTATTCAGGCTTATTTAAGACCATCAAGGCTTATTCAGAACATTAAAGGAAGAATACGGTCATTGTTTAATCACCTTCATGTCTCTCCAAACCCACATGACCTTCATTCTTCAGCAGAACACAAAAGAAGATATTTTGAAAAAATGTCTGTGTTTTTGTCCATACAGAGGAAGTTTGTTGTTGTTTTGGACCCCATTGACTGTCATTACATTATG